AAACAGATGAGGGAAAGAACAGATTAGAAGTGATATATGATTGAGTATTATGGTTAGCACAGGAATCCAGAATTAAGGTTGCATAGAAAAGTGTAGGGGGGGCGGGGGGGGAAGGGACGTGGGAATTGTATACTAATGAAGGAATTTTTTTTTTCCTCTTTGGAAGGGGAAGCGAGCTGGTGGGGAGGGGTGGGCAGGGAGAAAATTGCGGCAATGAATGAATGGAAATCCAAAACCTCTGTAAATGTCTATTAAAATTAATAATAATAATAATAATAAAATGCTTATGCCAGGGCCCCATTCCAACAGATTCAGATTCAATTGGTTTAGAGTGAGGCATAACAATTGCTATTTTAAAATAGCTTCTCAGATGATTCTAGATTTCAGTAAGACTTAGAAACTAATATGCCAAAGAAAATTGGAAGTAATAGAAATATTGTTTCAATTAAAAGACTATTTAAAAAAAAAAAGAAATAGACTGACTCAGTGCCTGGGGTTATGGGGTTAGTTCTGTCAGAGACAATGAGGTTGGTTCAAGACATAGCAGAGTTCAGAGCTGTTGCACACAGGATCGCCATGAGTCACAATAACTCGAAGGTATATAATAGCAACAGGTGACCACAACTCACAGCAACTTTATCAATGACAAATCTAAACACTGCCATGTCCTGTGCCATCCTAATCACCTCTGACATATTCGAGCCCACCGTCACAGGCACTGAATCAATCATCTCACTGAGGGTCTTCTCCCCGCCTTCACTGACCCTCTACCTTTCCAAGTATGATGTTTTTGCCAAGGACTGGTCCCTCCTAATAACATGCCCAAAGTATGTGAGACAAAATTTCACCATTCCATTATACACCTGCCTAGATTAATGTTTGTGAAGCTTGGCTATGATCAAGGCACTTTTTTATTCAAAACACAAAAAATCAAACCCCATTCATCACAATTGAGACATTCCTGTCTCCTGGCAAACCCTTCATTAAGTTTTTAAGGGTATTACGCCTTAATAGTAGAGTGCCTCATCACTCTCCCACAGAGGAACTAGTGGGTTTAAAGTACTGACCTTTCAGTTTAGAGCCCAGCACTTAACATACCTTCACCACCAGTGATAGCTTCTGCTCAAAACAAAAGTACCTACAAATTAAATATAGCTTTTCCTGACATTCAGAAGTCTCCATAGTATTACTCTAAACCTCCAATCTTTTATTTTCAATATTACTTTACAATGTGGACTGAAGAAAAAATCTGTAATTAAAAAACCACCAAACCCACTGCTGTGGAATCAAATTCTGAGGTGTAATGATATTACAGAACAAAATAGAAATGCCCCACTGGAATTCCAAGGCTGTCAGTATTTATGGAAGCAAAATGTCACATCTTTCTCCCATGGCTGGAAGGTTCAAACCACCAACTTCTTCTTTAGTAGCAGAGTGCTTGACCTCTGCGCCACCCTCACTCAGTACTACTGTGTCAGTTCCAATTCGTAACAACTCTCAATCAGGTTTCCAAGGCTATAAATCTAACAGGAAATTGCCACCCTTCTTTCTTCCTCAGAGCCACTGGTGGATTCCAGCTGAGAAGCACAAGATCAGCCTTAAGGTAAGCAATGCAAACAGCTGCAAACTATGTAACCAGAGTTCCAAGTCATTCTAATTATCTCCCCATACTAAAAGGAATCACTTTCCATTTTCCACATTTCGACTAACAAAACGTTCTTAATCCTGTAAAGCAATGCTCAAATGCTACCTCTAATAATGATAATGTCCAATAGGAAATGAAAATTAGAATTTGCTCAGAATTAGGCACAAGCTCTTAACTGTCATATAATGGTATATAAATATTAATTCACATCTTAAGGAAAAAATAAAATGAAGATACAGGGATGTCTTAGGTAAAATTTAAACCAGGTTCAACTCCAAAAATGTTTTCATAAAAACATTCTGCTACCAGGATAAAACAGCAGACATACAGCCCCTTCATGCAGGTACATGGTTATCTAACACCTTATGCTACTATAAACACAATTAAATGGCATGACCCTGAAATGCAAATCACAGAACCTATATGATGTCCTTCACAAAACAGGTACTTATCAAGAAACAATTTATTTTTCCAATGAAACCATGGTTTGCATTTCACACAACAGGTAAAACAGTGATCAAACGTCTCCACAGTGGATGAAGCATCCAGTGAAAAGGTTACAGGCAAATCTTGTGTATCTGCTTTCTCCTTTTTAAAACGGATACAAATAAACAGTTCCTAATTGCCATAAAAATGGTAGAAACACAAGAAACCTCAGTGGTCACTAGGTCAGAGTTACAAATATTCAATCTGGTAAAACCTTAGTTTTAAAAGTTTAAACAATGTGTCAAATGTGATAATGGTTACCCATGGTGGACAGTGTTTGGTGGTGCTCCCCAGCTGAAACAAGCTTGGAACAGGAGTAGCATCCACTTCCATAAAATGCTTGCCTACAGAAACCCTATGAACCTGGAGAAAGGATGAAAAGTCACGCACACAAGTGTCGAGGACTTCCGTTCATAGGGTCGCTATGAGTCACCTACGACTCAACGGCATTGAACAACAACAACACATCATTTGGTAAAAAATAATTTTAACACAGTCCTCTCACTTTTCAAAATAAAAGTCAAGCAGGAAGAAGTAACTAGCTCAAGATCCTTAGGTAGAGTCAGTACTAGAACTCAGCTGTTGAAATTCCATTATATTTCCAAAGAAACCAGTTTGGAGTTCCTGGAGAGTATGTTAGGTCAAAATTTTATAAACCATAATTATGTAAGATTAATATATATAACCTTTGTGCAAACTAAAATTGCTATTTTCCAAATAGAACATATTTTAAGTCTCCCACAATATTCATGACACTGTAGAAACCCTCCAGTAAGTAAGTGATAGGGCATCACTTCAAACTCCTATCTCCTATAATGGGATGGCTTCAAACTTGTTCCTGCTATGTCGTTGCGTGCAGTGATATTAATGCTAATTTATGGTGACTCGTAAAGATCCTGCATAACTCTCAAAACATGAGTCATTTCATTCTTGCCCCAATGTGAGCATGATAAACACACACTTTACAAAATAAAATAAAGTCCCTGGGAACCCAACAGTTAAAACTATTTGCTTACTCCAATTAGAGTCAAATTGGTTGAAAATATTACAAAGATACAGACTTTTCTGAGATTTAAACCACTTTTCAATTCCAATCTATGCATGTAGTCCACAGTCAATTTCAGAAATGAATCCGCAGAACAAGATAAGATTAATATTTTCGTAATTAGTTCAATTAATTAGTTCTTGGGAATTTCCTTAATGCCAGGAACCACGGCATAATTCATTTCAAAATTACAAGAGTAAGGCAGGTTGATGGCTAAATGACAAGTAGGCATTTTGCCAACTTTACTAGGATGTAATCTGGTACTGAATCTTAAGACCGAGGCATGCTTTAGAAATATAAGTTATTTACCTTAATAGCTTCTACTTGTTGGCAAATCATTTTCAGTAAAGAATTCTGATCTTCTGCCCATCGAGGTGGTGTTTTGGGAGAATACTGAAAGAAATAAAATTTAGAAAAGCAACCAAAATAAAAAATTGGTATTTGGAAAGAAAAATATTCCACAATGAAATACTTCTTTCCTACTTACCTTGTAACTTTTACTTGGTGACAAAGAATATTTGGTGGGTGATGGTGTAGAATGTTTTATTTCTGAATCTGCATTTCGCAAAGCACCATTTTTATAAAGAGTGCCTCCTTCACTATAGTCTTCAAGTTCCTGCATGACTGAATTAAGCATCTCCTTCACAGACTCCAGAGGCACAGGTAGCTGAACACAAAAGGCATTGATTCATCAAGGCAATGAATTTCCCCCAAAAGAAAATCAAGAATTCTGAAATTAAAAGACTCTTTTCTCACTTTACAGTACTCAACTTTGAATAATGAGTAGTTGATACTTTGACAAAACTGCCTAAACATGAAGATCTAGTCCTTGGATTGCAACATCTATTTTGACTATATTGTCATGATTACACAAGTAATGATATCCTATCTTAGAAATTTCTAATTCTTAAAGATATATTTGTATAGGGGTACACACCTGCCTTTCCAAATTTAAAAATGATGCATCAAATTGAAGACAAAGCAAAATCAACTAACCATCTGCAAACATGATTATAGTGATACCTTCTAGATATTATTAACAAGGTATTACCAAACATTTTTTAAATTACCAAAATTTAGTATCAAAGGTTTTTTTTCATCAAATATCAATAATATAAAGTACAGGAAAAAACCTCCTACAACTTACTTTCTTGATCACTGATGGGCTTGAATCACTGTCATCTAAAATCTTTATTAGGTAATCCCTGGCCTTTCTCAAGTAGTTTTTGCATTCTTCCTGTTCTTCAGGAGAAAGGGCATCATTTTCAATGTCTTCTGCCTTCCTGTGAAACAACTACACAAAGAGAGTGTTCATGAAACAATTTTATTTTAAAATTAAAAAAAAAAGTCAGGGGAGCTCTGGTGGCCTAGTGGCAAGGAGCTGCAACTACAATTCCAGAGGCGAACGGTTCAAATCCACCAGATGCTGTGCCGGGGAAGGAGAGACAATCTCCTCCTGTACCAGTCAGATCTGATTTGACGGTACAT